AGAAAGGTACTAGAGGAGTGGTATCAGGTTTAGGAGGGCAGAGACATCCACAAACTAAAGTGCATGAAGAAGAGATAATGATGATCAGAGAACCAGGCATGTATAGGAATTGGAGGCCCCAGGAATAGTGGGGAAAAAGTAGGGGCTGAGGAAATGCTGAGGGGAAGTATGACATAGGGTTGAAAACAGGCAAATGAATTGAAAGTCTGCGGATAAAATGGTTAACTAGGTTTAGCAACCTCAACCGTGTCAACCAACCAGGGAAAAGTTAAATTGCATGTGACATCAGATAGCTAGAAACTCCTTTATTATAAATTCTAGCAGAAGGATCAAGTAATACATCTGGCATTTATACAGCTGTTTGATATATTATAGTGATGATTATGAGGATGATAATAATAATAATAATAATTACCTCTTGTGGAAACCCTCAGAAACCAGTGTTTATGGGGGAAAAACAACAAATAAAATGCTCATGAAGCTCTAGATTATATTCTTAAGGACTACAAAATATCTTCCTTGTTTAGAAAATGCTCTTACTGAGGAATTGTGGTTGGTTCCAGAGGAATCTTATCAATGACTTATTTCAAACCTCAGATAACAGGCTAAAGAGACTTGAAGTGAAATCTATTGCCAAAAGTCATGAAGCTAATTACTCTTCAATAGGGTATTATAACCCGGGTCATCACACTCTTGAGTAACAGTCTCTCTCAATTACACCAAGCTGCCAGTAGGGTGAGCTTTGATTCATCCACAATTTTCACGAGAATCTTCTTTTTATATGTCATGTTTTTGAACACATTATTAGAGACGGGTTTGCTCTGTGACGATAGGATGATATAAAACCTGCATGCTTACTTTTTGGCTAGTTCCATTACATTTCCCTCATTGTTATCGTTATTTAACAAACAGAAGTAGCGATCAAAGTATAATAGAATGTGAGACTCACTTGTGAATGTGTTTTTTTCACATTCTTTAAAATGGTTAAATTCATGAATGAAAAATACAAGAAAAGGACAGGGTAGGAAAACGTGGCTTGACATTAAACCAAGGAACACACATCAAGCCAACACAAACCAAGGATGAGAGACAAATTCATGCTCTTTATTGTTTTCCTTTAAGAATATTAAATGATTCATAAAACTAGGATGATAGTTTTGGCACTCAAGGAAACCTTTACATGCTTTTTGGTAGAAAACTGTAAGTGTCTTTACTGACTAGCCAGTGTGTTCATCTTAATAGTTCTGGTAAGGAAAATAAATTATATTCTGGAGAAATCAGCAGAAATTCATAGACCCTTAAGCCTTCCAGAGCCAACCAATTTCTGTTGCTTCGGGCCTGAATAATTTTATTGAACTGTAATAATATTTGAATTCCTTCTAAATTCCTAAATTTGGGAGGAGAATCTATTCTTTTTTTACTATTGGAAGGGAAAGGAGGAGTATGAAATCATTCCAGCCATATCTAAACGTATCAGAAGAGTATGAAGGTTCCTATATTTGCTGTGTTCCCTCTGAAAGATACAAAGATGAGAGGTGATTGCTGGTGAATCACTGTTCTATTTTATCTAGAGACCTGAGTGCTCTCACTGCTGTATTCCCTTAGGGGGTCATGTTCCTCTGCTTAAAAGAATATTGCCTGCTCTGTGAGCTAATGATTTGTTTGGAGGATGGAAGTCTCACAGGTAAAGATAACTGCACAGCTTTTATGATGTATCTTTCAAATCTTTGATCTGCTTTTTTCTGAATACCTGGGACCCCTCAATAGCAAGATTAAAGATGCCTCTTCAGAGAACAAAGGTAAACTTTGAAAACCTAAAAGCTCCTCAGATTTCCAAATAATATTTCTGTATTTCTTCATTTTGTCAACATCGTACTTGCTGTTGTCCTGCATTCGTGTGATAATCGGATGGTAATCAAAATACAGTGTTAGATCATTGGCTTGTGGGTTTTTTCCCCATATTTTTCAAGGAGGCAGGGAACTACAAATCTTGTTTCAAAAAGTGGTTAGTGCAAACTAGCCTATGGCGAGGACACACATACTCATTTGATTCTATTTAATTTGACAAATATTTACTTAGTACCTAGTAGGTGTCAGACATTGTGCCTTCTTTTGTAGGGAATACCAAGAATCAGGACCTGTTTTCAAGAGATTCATACTCTAATTGGGCAGACAAGGCAATTACAGAAATGGCCATGATGGGATGCAGAATATGACAAATGAAAAATGCTTGCAGAGAAATGAATGACATTCAATATGGGAAGAGAGAGAAGAAGTAATATTCAAGTGAGAGGGGGTGAGGGAAGATTTCAGCATTTGAGAAGGACCTTGCAAGGTGGGTGAGATTTCCGTGGATGGAACTGGAGCTGGAAGTAAGGTGATAATAGTGTATGTTGCGTGTGTGTGTGTGTGTGTGTGTGTGTGTGTGTGTGTGTGTGTTGTCGGGGGAGGGAGGTGGTCAAAAAAGGTTGAGAAGCTTGTGTTTAACTTGTGGACAGTAGCGAGTCCATGAGGATTTTTAAGCAGAGCAAAGATAGAATAATACGAGTTGTGGTTTAAGAAATATTTTTGAAGAATTTTAAAATTTTAGTGTAAAATTTAGCTTTTTAGTGTATTTTGAGGTAAAACTATGTCTGTGTAAACAACAAGTGTTTGATAATGTCTTACAGGTCTTATTTCCAAACAGAATGTCTATCACTTAAAATGTTGACTGAACTAACTTCTCATTTATATTTGAATCTGAAAGATTATTATTTTCACTCTAATAATGATGTAGCTCATCCACGCATAGATTTCTATTCTTGGTCAAAGGAATCAGTAAGGGGGTGTACTTTTATAGCATTCTGGCGAGTTTAATCTTCTCCACCACATGAACAGCTGAATTTTTACTGTCTGAGTAATATTTTTCTTAATTTATATTTTATTGAGGTAGCATTGGTTTATACATTATATAAGTTGCATGTGTACAACACTATACTTCTACTTCTGTATACTTCACAGCGTGCTCATCACCAAAAATTTAGTTTTCATCTGTCACCATACAGTTGCTCCCCTTCACCCATTTTGCCCTCCCCATTTTCCCCTGTGGTAAAACCACTACTCTGTTCTCTGTATCTATGTGTTGGTTTTTGTTCATTGGTTTGTTCATTTATTTTGTTTTTTACATGTCTGAATAATATTTTGAAGTGCATTTTTTGTTTCCTCCTAAGCCCTTTAGAGCACAACATGCCCTTACAAAAAACGGGGAGATAAAACGTAACAAGAATAGAAAAATAAATAACTTCATAGAGTAAAGCAAAGCAAAATATATTTTTAAAAAGCCAAAAACAGGATTGCAATAAATGGCTCTTATCAGAAGCTAGTTTTGAGGAGTATTTTTTTCATGATTATCATTATGATGATTAGGGTTTATCCCAGATAAATCTGAAAATGTGAGTAGCTCAACGTATTCTCCACCAAACCATTTATCAAAGCAAGTAATCTAATAGCTGGATCATACTTCCTCTGCTTTAGCTCCTGGGCAGAAAAAGTGAGAGCATAAAGGGAAGATAACGCAAAACTACAGAACAAATGCCCAAATATGTGACAAGACAACATCCTGAATAAGCAAAGTATTATCTGAAAGTAGTTAGTTAATAGTCAACTATAAATATTTCTTGAGCACTGAGTGCATTGAAATTCAACAAGTCCTCTATTTCTGAAGACTTCATCTTGCTTTCTCTTATTATGCATCTATTAGGAATGAGACCTTTCCTTATTTTCTAACTAGAGGACAGACAGCGGTGAAGTGGTATTCTACTGATGTAAAAGAGCCAATAAAATTTCTTTGTGCCAAAGTTACTATTATTTACTATTTATTCTATGGAGGAAATAAACACCAAAACAAATGATTGTTTCATCTAAATGACCTAAGGGGGGGAAAAAAAAAAGAGTTCCAGATAGGAGATGCCCAGCAATTCCACTCCTGAGTATATAGACAAAAAAAACCTCCACTAATTCAAAAACATGCTTGCACCCCAATGTTCATATTAGTACTATTTACAATTGCCAAGGTATGGAAACAACCTAAGTGTCCATCAACAGATTAATGGATAGAGAAGATGTGCCATTCACACACACACACACACACACACACACACACACACACACACACACACAATGGAATACTACTCAGCCATAAAAATGAATGAAATTCTTAACTTGGGACTAGAGCCCAGTCAAGTTGATACATAAAACTGACCGTTACATCCCCCCTCTAGTTATTTGTTTTTTGGTTTTTGGTTTTTTTGAGGTACACGGGCCTCTCACTGTTGTGGCCTCTCCCGTTGTGGAGCACAGGCTCCGGACGCGCAGGCTCAGTGGCCATGGCTCACGGGCCCAGCTGCTCTGCGGCATGTGGGATCCTCCCGGACCGGGGCATGAACCCGTGTCCCCTGCATTGGCAGGCGGACTCTCAACCACTGCGCCACCAGGGAAGCCCTAGTTATTTGTTTTTAATTGACTATTTTGACTAATTATCACAAGAAAAGTATGTAGGAAAAAAAAGTAGAATTAAGAGAAATTACTATCAAATATTTTCTCAATTAACATTCACACCTGAATTGAGAAACAATAGGAAAACTTACTATCATCAGAAAAGTAAGAGTATAATACTAACTAGCATCTCTGAACACTTGCTCTTGTCTACAAGATACAACACTGAACATTTTTTAAAACATAAACCTATTTCATATTCCTTACAACTGATCAGTACCTACTGTTGAATATTTAAGGTAACTGAAAAAATGGTGATTTATCAAATTGAATAAATCTATCACTATTGTATGCCTCCCTTAAACACTGAAGATATGATACAGCACAAAAATGCATCCAACATTAACATAGTAATGAATAAATAAAAATAAAATTGCCAATTGTCGAATAAACCTTTGCAAAGAAAATGACTTAGCCAATAAGAATGGTACAAAGATCTAAATTGTTTTCAGAAACCAAGGCCTTACCAATAGTCGGATCAGGTGCAACATCACTTCTATTCTCCTTCCATGACAGCAGGTAGTCAAGGCTGGTGAGATCTGCAGATTCTATATTACTATTAATGGTCAGCATCATCTGATGAGCTTTTGCTATTCCATAATGAACTTTTGTCTCATCCATCAGAGGTATGTTCGTTAACTCTGCTGTTGTATCAAAAGCTTGCTGAAAGTATTCAGAAGCTTTGTTGTAGTATCCCTAAAAATGTAAGAGAAATAATTTTTTCTTAATTTTAATTTACCATTCCACATGTCTGCCCACCTTGGCATGTGCCACACTGATCCTTCAGCAGTTTTAGCAGTTCATCTTCAAGAAGAAAGAGATGGCAAGCAGGGCCTCTATTAGAATCAGTTTCCTTTTAAAAGCTGTGATTACTAACCATGCAATATCTTGAAGTTCATTCACCAAGAAAGGTGTATCTTCCAGGTTGAACCGTATGAAACTTAATTTTTTTCTGGATTAAAAATGGTCAAATATAAGCATTCTGCTTCCTAATATAAGGAAGAAAAAAGAAGTTTGGGAAAGAGTGAACTGATTCACTTTGATTTGGATGGAATTTTCTTACTTGTTGCATTGGATTTACCAAATGAAATCTTTTTAACCAGTTTTCGGTCACAGCAAGAGATCATTCTAGCCAACCCATTTAATCAGTGGTGAGTGAAAATGGATGTATATTCCGCTCTTCCGTTATTACTTGTATTTTCCCATGTGCACATGTCATTCTTGGCTAAGAATGTGGAAGACAAGATTTCGAAATAACATGATCTTGACAACAGCACTAGCATAACTCAAAAGATCATTTAAATGTTTACATCTTCTCCAAGTTCCTTGCAACATTTTAACTTGCAAAAACTCAAGGTTTCCTCCCCTTCCCTTCCTTCCTTCTTTCCTTCCTTCTTTCCTTCCTTCCTTCCTTTCTTCCTTCCTTCCTTCCTCCCTCCCTTCTCTCTCTCCCTCTCTCTTCCTTTCTCTTTCTTCTTTCTTTCTTTCTTCTTTCTCATTCTCATCTCTCCTTCTAAAAGCTATTGTCTACAAATAAATAACATTTACCTAACTCTTATGAAGCGTCAGGGACAGTGGTAAATACTTCATATGTATTATGTCATTAGCTTTCATAGGTCACTCTATGAGGAAATATTATTCTTATTTTACAAATAATGAAATTGAGCCTCAGAGAAAAGACTATCTTCTGCCACCTTCCCAAGTCTTCTAAAAATCTTCCTTTAAAAACTCTTCCTCAAAAGGGGATATTATTTTTAGGATTAAGCTATACTTGTAAAAACTCTAGGGAAGAAAAACTTCCTTTCTTCACTGATTTATAACCCTGGGGAGTCCATCCTCTTCCCTTTCCTCCTCTCTCCTTTCTTTCTCTCTCTCATATTACAAAAACAAGTATGCACACTCTTGAAGAGAAATGTTTTACTATGAGCTTTCAAGTCATTTTTCTCACAATGTATTATGACGGAACTGGAAATGAAAAAACACCATAGAAACAGCTTTATACCATATGCCAGTACAGGTAAAATGCATACTCAACGACCACACATCTCTGTACAATCATAGAGTCCAAAGAGCAGAAAAACTGATTGAATAAAGAGGCTGCTGGCAAGGTGAGGAGTAGGGCTATGTGACAGTTATGTTACATACATGAGCAGCACATGTAACACTGCTATATACCCACAGGGACAATTTAGGTGAACCATTCAAATGGCTCACTCCAATTAAATTTTCTAATTTAAACAGACTTCCTCTATATTACATCAAAAACAATTTTTGTTTGTTGAGATGAACAATTCTTTCTCTTATTTTAAAGCATAAAACAGGATTTATATGAGACTAAGATCACTTAATTAAGAAAATATAACAAAGATATTTATATGTCAATGAAATAAATTATATGATTGAGAAATAATATCAATATTGAAGACAATAAAACTAGTTAAAATTATAGATTGCCCTGTTAGATATCAAAGATATGGGACAAAATAGATGAAAATATATGACTAGACCAAATGTTTCTATTTTTAAAAACAGAGAAGTATAAATATCTAATTATTGTTCCAGCTATAATCCTGAGCTTTAGGCTGTTCATTGCTTTAGATGAGAGTCTCAATTAGGAGAATTAGGGACCATAAATAAATGGACATATATTTGAATTTCCAGAATTATTTTGATATATTATTATTTTGGAACAAACTCATTCATCCAATGAATAACTACTATTTACCAGGCCAATGCCAGGCAGTAGAGATTCAGCAGTGAACAAAGTTCAAGGTCAAGTAGGTGAGCTTGCTGCTAGTGGAAGTAGTCATCTGCCTATAACTTTTATTAGATCTTTTTTAACAAATGCCTTTTCCCCCTGAATACTTCTATTATTATAATAGGTAATTAGGCATTATAATTAGGTAATTAGTCTTCCTTCAAATTGTGCCTAGTGTTCAACCTTGAGACACACACATACCTGTCATAAAACTGGTATCAAGCTAGATTTTTCTAGTTTAAGGCACCCTTAAGAAATACAACATTGGTTCCTCTCAGACGCAAGAATTTTTATACATACCTTTTTAGAACGCGGTTTCATTAATGTGCATTGTATTTCCAGATTTTTCATTCTTAAAGAGTTTACTATCGAAATTTAATCTCTTCTCTAAAGGTTCTGCCCAACTTTCCACAGTTCCTGTTATCAGTGAAGCCCTATGCTGTTATAAAATTCAGAAGATTCTAGTAATGAATCCTGGCAATCTTAAATATGAGTTTGGGAATACAGAAGTGAATTTATGCACTTCATAAGTGCATCTTATTGGAAGAGAAAACTTCATTTAATGTTATAAATATCACTAATAAGCATTAGGTGGACAATTTCAGGTCAAGATCTTGACATCATAGACGTTGAAACAAAACTTGCATTATTACACTATAACATAGAATTTTCATGCATTATTGTGATTCTTATCAGATCCTTCTTAGTGTCTGAATTGTCACTCTGTCCAATGAGCAAGCTCAAAATAAATGGGCATTTTCTCAGTACTGAGGAAGACTCTTTTCTTACACAATTTCCTTACTGTGTTAGTGTTGGAACTACCATTGTTTTAACTATGTGATTATGCTTTGCTCTTATTAGAGAATAAAAGATCTCATGAAGGGTCTATACCTAGTTATTTTCCCTAAAATATTCTCACTAGACCCCTTTACTTTGATGATATATTTTCAGTTAAAAACCAATCACATCAGGAGGGTGAGATGGGTGGCCCATCTTCCATGATTATATAGTAAAAGGTAAACTAATTAGGATGTTTTTAAGATGTGTTAACTTAAATTATAATAACACTATAATAATTAGAGAAAACTATATTTTTCCACATACAGTTTTATATGATAATTGTGGTCTTATAACAATATTATTTCTTGGAAATTACTGTTAAGAATACAATTAGAATACGTTGCATGAATAATATGAAGCCAGAAAAGGTACGATAAGGGCAGTTGGTAGAGGTCCTTAAAAGGTAGACTGACAAATATCAGTAATATCAGAGTTGCTTTTAAAATTTCAGTGCAAGTTTTCAAAATGCCAAAATATTGGACAAAAATGAAACAGAAGTTTGGAATTTCAAAAGTGAGAGACTACTACTCTCAACTGGTATAAAATTGGTTACAAATTTATGGATTGATTCAATGAACTCGCATATTTTTGTTCACCAACTCTGTGCCAGGTTCTCTTCTAGAAATTGGAATGAAATTAAAAAACAGGCAGATCTGGTCTCTTTTCTCATTAAGCTTCCATTCTAGACACATTCAACAACAAGAAGAAAAATATCACAAACAAGAAAACTACGAGACAAGTGCAGCATAATTTTGATTGGGTTGAGTCAAGGAAGACCTTTCTGAAGTTGTGGCATTTAGCTGAGCTCTGAATGACAAGAAGCCAGCAATGTGAAGTTCAGATTGGGGAGTGGTCCACGCAAAGCATTCCAGCTAAAGCAAATGTCCTCAGGCAGAAATCAGCTCAGCATGTTTGAAGAACTCCACAAAAGTCCCTTTGGCTCTGGTGGACAGCATAAGGAGAGTAGAAGGCAATAAAGTCAGAGACTGGGAGTGGGGGAGGTAATGCATCTCATATAGATTGTTTCAAGTCAGGGTGAGGATTTATATTTATGTTCTCAGAAGACTGGTCAGCAATGGAAGTATTTTAAGCTGAGAAATAACATGATTTTATTTACATTTTAAAAGGATTACTTGGGCTTCTGTGTGGAGACTGGATTGGATGGAGGAGAAATGGGAAAATGGGTTCAGAGCTTATTGCAATAGTACAAGTGAGAAAACATAGTGTCATAACCAGATGTGGTGATAGTAGCAGAGATAGAGAGAAGAAGTGGGTGGATTTGAGATGCGTTTTGGTGGCATGAAGGTCAGGGTTTTCTTCTGGATTGGATATGGAGCAGGAGGAGAAAGATGAAGCAAGAATATCCAGATTATTGGCTTGAGCAATCGAGTTGATGGATAATGGTACCATTTATTAAGATGTGGAGGACTGGGGAGAAGTAGGCCAAGGAGGGAGGAATCACATTAAACTTGAGATGTCAATTAGAAGACATCCAGGGAGAGATGCTAGGGAGGCAGCCAGAATCACAAGTCTGGAGTCCCAAGGAGAGATCAGGGTTGGAGATATAAATTTGAGAGTCATCAGTGTATGGATGGTATTTAAACCATGGGCCTGTATAAGGTCAGATAAGGAGAGCTCACAGATTGAGAAAAGAAGGTTGCCTATGAAATGCCTGAATGGTATTCTATCCTGGTTGAACATTAAGTAGGGAGAGAAATAGAATTTAGGGGAAAGCTGATGAGTTGAGTTCAGTTTTTAATAGGTTACATTTGAAGAGGTCTAAGTGAAGATGTCAAATAGGCAGTGAGAATGAGTCTGCAATGGAGGAGAGAGATCTGAGTTTGAGATATTAAGAAGGTTAAGTGCTATTGTGTACCCAATATATGCTAGGAACTCTATTAGGTACCATGTACATGTTTTAAAATTTCTAATCCTCATATAACCAGTCTTCAAGGTATCTTGTTATTGACATTTGAAAGATGAGGAAACAGAGGATCAAAGAATTAACTCGCCCAAGGTCACAGTTAATAAACAGCTGAGTGCAGATTCAAAGTCAGGTGGGCAAAACTTGGTGTAGTTCCTTTGTCCTGCTACAGTT